AGAGTGAGAGAAGAGAGGGAGAAAGAGAGAGAATTTTAATATTTATTTTTTAGTTTTTGGCGGACACAACATCTTTGTTTGTATGTGGTGCTGAGGATCGAACCTGGGCCGCACGCATGCAGGCGAGTGTGCTACCGCTTGAGCCACATCCCCAGCCCAGCTTGAGATTTTTTGAAAGAATCAGGAATAGTAGACAGATGTTTTGTTTTGTTTAATTTTTTTTTTTAGTTAGAGTCGGATAGAGATGTATAAAGGAAGGAAATACTTGGAGATTGTAGGTTTCTAGAGGCTAGAAAGTAAAAATACTATTCTTACAACAAGGGTAGGGGGATAARTTTTTACTTACAGTTTGATTGGGGAGACGTGTTTAAATGGGGTGCTGGTGATATAATTCATACTATTTGAATTTCTAACAGTTTTTGTTAAGAAGTAGCACCACAATAAAAAATGATTTTGCTGCCAGGTATGGATGTAATTCAAGCTACTGATGAGATTGAGGAAGGAAGATTGCTTGAGCCCATGAATTCAAGGCCAGCTTGGGCAACAACCTTGGTGATAATCTGATTTACGAAGGGGAAAAGTATTTTTGTCAAGAAGGTTTTAGATATGCTTGTCTTTCACTTAATATTTTTCCCTTTTGACCTCTTGTTCATATAGTAATTCTTTAGTTGTGTTATTCATTTATTGCCAGTTATCTTGTCTATATTAATATTATGGTAAAAGAGATAATACTCTTACAATCTACTTTGTTATTCCAGAACACCTACACATTTACAGTTTTCTAATGTTAAGTACCATGTCATGTCCATATTCTTTAGTTCTTGTCTGCTGTTTATAGGCCAGTGGTTGCCATCAATAGGATATTTCTTCCTCCTTCATCCTACAGCACCCCAACTCATCATTTTTCATTTTTTGAGACAAATGTTTTGTCTACAAATAGCAGCATTTGTGTAATTCTTAACAGAAGAGTCAGGAAAGATTAAGTGTTTTAGCTTCTACCTTTGTGTGAGAAGGTACTGGTTCATATCCTGTTTTAATCCASAATGGCATTTCAGGATAGATGCTTTGATCACTAAGAGCAGGACACCAGAAGGCTAGACTATTTGACAAGTTTAAATCCTCGGGTGTTGTAGTTTAGTCAAGGAAAGGAAATAATTTCTGATGTAAACATTTTCATGAAACCTTCTTGGAATTTATATTCTTTGTTGATCAGGTTCTTACAGGAGTTGCGGGAGAAGATGCAGAATGTCATGCAGCAAAATTGTTAGAGGTCATCATTCTACAATGCAAAGGGCGTGGCATTGACCAGGTCAGTGAGGGTAACTGTGTGTAAGTTGCTGAGATTGAATCCAGAGCCTCATGTATGCTAGGCAGACAGTCTACTTTTGAATTTCATTTCATCCCCAACCCAAGGCTAACTTCTAATGCTTTTATTTGGAACTTCAGAGAATAAATCAATTTTTACATCTTTTTCTCCTTTTGGCATTTACAATATATTGTGATACACTGTTGTGTACCATAGCATTTATTTTCACTGTTGGTGTAAAATTTAACCAATATATATTAATGAACATATATTTAATATGTTGAAAATACAAKTATTGAAGTTTCATGTGTACTTTGTTATGCTAGGTAAATATTGGCTTAAGATTTCTGACAGCTTTAGTAATTAAATGAGCCTAAAGGGTTAGTTGAGGCAACAGTTAATATGGATAGWATAGTTAGGGTGCTATTCATTTCAGTCATGGACTACCTTGTAATCTTTCTTTACAGTGCATTCCCTTATTCGTGGAGGCAGCTTTAGAGAGACTGACAAGAGAGGTTAAGACAAGTGAACTTCGAACAATGTGCCTGCAAGTTGCAATTGCAGCTTTATATTATAATCCGCACCTCCTACTCAATACCTTAGAAAATCTTCGCTTCCCTAATAACGTTGAACCAGTTACAAACCATTTTATTACACAGTGGCTTAATGATGTTGACTGTTTCTTGGGGTAAGTAACATGAATTGGACCTTTATGAAGAACTCTTGTTTATTTAAGAAAATAGAGGAAAATTTTTTTTTATATTATTTTTTTAGGCTTCATGACAGAAAGATGTGTGTTCTTGGCCTCTGTGCTCTTATTGATATGGAACAGATACCACAAGTTTTAAATCAGGTTTCTGGACAGATTTTGCCAGCTTTTATCCTTTTGTTTAATGGATTAAAAAGAGCGTATGCCTGCCATGCAGAACATGAAAACGACAGTGATGATGATGATGAAGCTGAAGATGATGATGAAACTGGTAAGAGATTTGTGGTGAATTTCAGCAACACATATATAGTTAAAAAACTACTGGACTTTTTTCTAGTCCTTCTCCCAAAATTTAGGATCATAGCCGGATGCTTTTATAGTTGTTCATTCATAGAAATACTTCCTTATCTCAGAAGAGTAGCAAAGTCTATAAAGGCAGAATTGTCATCTATGTTTCCTATAAGAGGGAAGTTCCAGGCATTATAGTATGCAATCAATAAAAGATGGTTACTCTGTATTTGTTTGGCATAGCAAATATAGCAAAGAATGCATAAGTGATATTAGAAATTATTGCAATTGATGGGTGGGGTTGTGGCTCCGTGGTAGAGCCTTTGCCTAGCACATGCAAGGCCCTGGGTTCAATCTTCAACACCACATAAAAATAAATAAATAAAGGTATTAGGTTTAAGTATAACTAAAAAATAAAAGAAATTACTGAAATTGATTCAAGGTAAGATAGGCATTGCAGTTTCTTTTCTTTTTCYGCAAGTATTAACTTATCGAGTCTTGTTTTCCATTTTGGCAGTACCAGGAATAGAACCCAGGGGTGCTCTACCACTGAGCTACATCCCTAGCCCTTTTTTATTTTTATTTAATGTCACAAAAATTTCTATGGGTGAGGTTGGAGATGTGGCTCAGTTGTATCGCACCTTCCTTGAGGCCCTTGGTTTGATTTCCAGCACCCTGCCAAAGTTTCTATGGGTATTACTCAAACTGTATAATTTTTTATTGGTATCATGGGCTGCAATCTTCCTTCAAACTAGGTGAGGTGGCTCACACCTATAATCCCAGAGGCTGAGGAAGAAGAATTGAAAGTTAAAAGCCAGCCTTAGCAACTTAGTGAGATCCTTTAAAAAAAAAAAAAAAAAAAAACAGGCTGGAAATGTAGCTCA